AATGAGAATGAGTGCAGGTACAACAGCTTTCTATAAATACTTCTGAGCAAAAACAGCCACAAAAAAACAATAATTATATTAGGTAAAATAAGATGTTGGCACAAGAACAAATGAATGCAAGCTAACCATGTATACATTTAAGCTGGTAATTAGGAGATGGTTCCTAACCATCAGACAAAAGAGACTCGGTCTCCCAGTGAGCATTGAGGGGGAATGAGATGTGATTACTTTAAGGATAAAGATTGATCAGTTCACAATAAGGGATTGAATGACAGTGGGCCTACAGTAGCAGGGAACAGCACTTGATGACCCAGATCATGTTGTCTTATCCCGTGACCCTGAAAGCATTGAAAATTACCTGTTATGTAAAACACATAAAATGTCCTCTAACACCCCCAACTTCTCCCAACACATACCACTCTGCAATTCATAACTTTTTGTTATTCCTCAGCTCTCATCACATCAGTACATTTCCTGGCCTTTACTGTGACTCCAGCCCTTGTGAGTCTGGCGCCTTTCCACATGTTGTCTCTTGCCCATATTTTTGCAGCAGCTCCATAGAACATGGCACACTACAATCACAAGTTTGGCATTACCTCGGCTGGCATCTCAAGAATTTTGCAGGCAGCACTGTCCTGTTGCTAGCCTCTGCAAACTCCACTGCCACTTTTCAGCTGTTCAGGTAACGGTAAAATCTCCTGCTTTTCCCAAAACTTCTGATCTCCAGCACTGGCATCTATAGCCAGAAGCAGAGGCAATATGCAGGCTTGGTCCACAGAAACAGCCATGAGCCATCTACATTATCTGGAGGGAAATATTAGTAATATGGTCATTTCTGCTACCCAGATGTCAACACCCTTGATCTATCATAAACAGAAAGCTGCAGGAATGAAGCACCCCAGAGTTACAGGCATTTTTTCCTAAACGTGAAGGATCATGCTACAATGTCTAAGAAGAGAAGAGCAGGTCAGTCTGACCTGTACAGAAGAGGATTATAATGGAATCAAGGTATGAGAGGAGGAATTTAAATAAATTAACAGATTCAAGGGAAAAAAGGAAAATGCAAACCAATAATAGAGATGAATGCCTGCTGTTTCATGGGACCAGGGCTGTGAGCAGACACCAGCAAGGTCTCCATAGAACAGGCATGGAGAACAACCTCAGTGCTGAAAGCAATGCAATAGGCCTTGCATGGCTCTGTGAAACTCAGATAACACCAATTCTACCTCCCTGGCAGGTGGTGAGAAGGGAGACAGCAAAGTCAGTGAAAAGAGGCAAATTCAATGCTGACAGATTGTCTGTATTTATTTAGCCTTTCCTTTTTGTGTATCAGCCAGGTATAGTCCTTTCCCCTTTGCGTAACCACTTCCAAGAACAGGCTCTTCCTCTCCAGACCCCACAAATCCTACTGTAGTTTACCATACTATTTCCCTTCCAGAGGGAGTGACCTCCCATCTCACCTTAGCTCTCTCAGCATGAATGCAGAGGGTGCAGCACGAGGAGCAGGAGGAGAAGGTGTGTCCTCACTGTGACAGATGCTGTGGCTCCAGGGAACATTCAGGCTGCTGTATTGACATTACAAATGAATGCACACACCTTTGTGGTTTCATTAATGACTGTACTGAAAGATGAAGAGGCATGAAAAGTAATGCATCCTGCAAAAAAGCAAAGACAAACGAGCAGTAATTTAAATAAAGCCCCAACACTGAAACAATGCACATAAAAAATCTTTTGAAGTTTTGATTCTCTAAGGAAGCAAGTCCTTGTATCCAAAGAGGAGTCACCAGCCTTGCTTATAATAAGACTAAGGAAATTACATGGGTGAGGCAACTGGCAAGCAAGCAAGCAAAGTTCATTACACCTAAAGTCATTATGACATTGTGGTCACTTCCTCTACTTTCCTGTTTAAGGACAGCTTGGTAGCTGAACACACAAGAGCTATAATGTGCACAGAGAAGAGTAACACTGTGCAAAACAAGCAACAGGACTAAGGAGTGCTACAAGAGTAGCACTGCCTGTGTGCTGCTTTTCTTTCACAGGTGGAGAGAAGAGGTTTTAAACCAGGTCCCACTCCAGTTAATGCCAAATCATCTCAGAATCTAGGGAAAAAATATTTCCAGGGAGAAACGGAAAGGAGTGAAAAGAGATTTATGAAATGCAAAACTATGACAGGTAAAATTGATAATTGTTCACACAGCTGAGTGCTGAATTTAATTCAGTACATAACGTGGTTGTAAGCTCGTGCTCATTACTCATTCCTCTTACACTCATTGCACTTGACACACCACAAAACTAAGTACTAAAACCCAATGAAACAAAAGAGGGCTACTAAATCTAGCAGCTTGGACTGTTGTTCAGTCAGGAGAAAATAAGCAGACAAGGATGCATAGTGGAAATAAAGTGGGGAAAGCAAGGCCAGATTGGGAGGCTTCATGGGCAGTAAGTCCTTAGCACATAGCTATTCTTGCATTAAGCACAGGGAACTATACACACATCCTAACATGTTCTGCACTGCTGAGAGCATTTATACAATGTGTAACTCACAGCCAAGAGGACACCTGAGGGAACATACCATGTACCCTTTGGCCGTTTCTTTCCCAGGGATGTAGGCAAAAGAATGCAAGCTGCTCTGAGCAAAAGGAATAAGCAATATTCTCATAACAATCTGAAACTGATTGAAGTTGCACTTCAGGTCTTAAAAGCTATAAGGACTGTTTGATTTTCTGATTCCCTTGCTATGACCTCTTATATTCCAGAGTACAAAGAAACAATTCTGTCAAGTGTTAAGAATTTGAAGGGGTTGTGACTCTCTTAAATTTGCTATCAGCATTCTGACACTTTCCCCACCTGACCTGTTTAATCTAGGTGTATACTCTAAAGAGATTCCTGGATTTTCTAGAAAAGCAAAAGGCTAAGCTGTCTGAAAGCACCCAATAAATGCCAATGTTTTGTGCTGGCTGGTTCCCTTTATGAGCCCTGAAGAATGGGAATGATTGAAATTACTTTTTCTCAGCATTTCTTCTCTGATGAAAAGTGCAGTAAAAGGGACTATATGTTATTGTTGCTACTATTACAATTCCTATTATTACTATTACTATTATGTTTGTTCTGTGGGAGGAAAGAAACTTGGATGGATCTCAGCAAGGGAAGTCGGAATGATTGGTACTTCAGTGGCTTTATGTGCAAGTATCCTAGATATGCTAGATGTTCATTTTTGCAAATTTACCTGCAAATTCATTCTCTCTCATATACACACAGTCCTGACACCATCTAATACCTATGAACCATCCAGCACTAAAAACATTAAACTGCAGGGGACCTCATGTGCTTTCTCTTTCTAGAGTGCAGAATATTAAACATACTACCACCATGCATTTACTAGCTATCATTACCAAATGCTTCACCAATTTGCTATCATCAAATACCAGGATAATTTAAGCTCTCAATTTTCAAAGCAATCTGTTTCTTTGGGCTGCACGTAGCCTCTCCCAACCATGCTCACAGCTTCTTCTGGCTTGCTCCCATTCTACCTCCACCTGACCCACAGGCCAGGAGCTCCCAGGAGCTGACTGATGTTTCTGTTATGTCCATAGATGTTTTTGTACAGCCTGTAGTACGAGCAAGAAAGCTGCAGACTATAAAAACATGGGAACTGTGATTTTGTTGTGCTGTGCACTGTCAAATGAGGTATGAATCCACCACTGGAACGCCCAGAAATATCACCAATCAGTAGAAGTAAAGGAGTAGGTCATGTCAGGTTCAGCTCTGGCAAGATCCTGATCATAAATTTGCAGAGGCACTTGTCCATCTTGGTGATTCCTCCCTCAGTTATGGTCTGGAGGGCACAGAGTGATTTTGGTGCATGAGAACATCAGCGCAGGCTTTGTGCTCAGCCTGGGGGCTGGCCCTGCTGTGTTCCAGCAGCTGCACTTGCAGACGCTGAGCCGTGTGTACAGGCTGTACCCCTCACTTTGGATCAAACTACACTTCCACACAGCGTAACAGGCATAGGCCTCTATTCTTTTCAAATTCCTCTAGGCCCTGCTGGACTGCAAATAATGACCATCATCATTCTGTACTTGTTAGGACACAAAAGCATCAGCAGGAGCAGAAGGCGGATCTGTAGGGGCTGGGGAATGGCCGCGTGTGACGGGTCAGGTCTAACCCCGGGCTGGGGACACAGCCTGCAGACAGCGTGACACCGTGAGCAGCTCTGCCAGAGTCACGGGGGTAGCAGCCGACACCTAAATAACACGGCAGCTCTCGCATCTGTGGAGATGATGAGATTTAATGTGACGGTGAAATGAGGTTTGTTGAATCTCCCAACAGGTCAGACTGAAGAAGGGCTAACCTAGTGGGGAAAAGGATTCTTTTCTAACCAGGCTGTTTCCTGAGGTTTTTTTAAACCTCTGTCTTGAAGCCTTTGCAGTAATGAGTGAGCCCTTTGGAAGATGCTGGGGGCAGTTTGCCTGTCTGTCGCCTTTGCACGAAGGACAGCAACGGGTGCGCGGGCGGCATTCCCGAGCGGGCCCGGCCTTGTCTCCCAGCTGTGCAGCGCGCCCGCTCGCTTCCTCGGGGAATCAGTCTTCAGGGAGATGTGCCCATTCATGTGCGTGTGCGGCTAATCTCATGGGAGTGCCGGCTTTTTAACTGTTTAATAACAGCATTTCACCCTTTCCGCCTGACCCACCACGGCAGCAACAAGCAGCCAACACCGGCCCGGGCTGCGAGCCCAGCCTGCTCAGTCTCCTACGGACACCGGCAAGGGAGGGGAAGCTGTGCCGGGTGTGCCAAGCCCCACGGTGGGCACCCCTCCACTGGCGGTGCTGGGGTCGCAGCCGGGCCGGGCACAGCTGTCCCGGTGTGCCCCGGTGTGTCGCACTGCCCCGCGGGGACACGCCGCTCATCGATGCGCTCGGCAAGCCGGCGCCCCGCCCCGCGGGTGCCGCGTTGGAGGCGCTCGGCGCTCGGCTGGCCGGCGCTGGCGCGGGTCCCTTGTCTCCTTGTCCAAGATGGCGGCCGCGGGCGGCGGCGCGGCGGGAAGCGGCGGGGCCGAGTGAGGCGGCCGCGGCCCGTCCCCACCCTGCGGCCGCGGCTCGGCGGCGGCGGGCCTTGTCGCCGCTGGGCGGCCCCGCAGTCGGGGCACGCCCGGGCCTGCTGCGGGGGCGGAGCCTCGGGCTGGCGTGAGGCTGGAGCCCGCTCGGGTGAGGGGACGCGCGGGCGGGCGCGGGGCGGACGAGCCCGCTTTGAACGGAGGCGGCGGCTGCGGGGCCCGGGCTCCGGGGGGTGTCGGGGCGCATGCGCAGGACGGGCCGTCTGCCGGTCCGTGCCCGCGGAGGGTTCGCGCCCGCGGCTGCGCGCGGAATTGCCGGCGGCGCCGTCTGCCCTCACGGCCCCGGTGCCGTGAGCTGGGAGCGCCGGGGGCGAGGGAGCCGCCCCCGCAGCCGGTCGGCAGCGGGACCGAGGGGCGGGGGTCCGTGCGGAGCCCCGGGGCCGCGGAAGAGCAAGGCTGGGCCTTGAACCCGCAGGCATGTGCGCTAAGGAGCGGGAGACGTGCAGGGCGAGCTTCCCCACTGAGCCTGTGCCGTCGCTGCTGAAACCCGGCAGTTTGAAGCAGGGGAGCCTAATTGAGGTTTACAAGATGAGAGTAGTGAGGGGTATGTTTTGTGTTTGCCGGATTGGAGGTCTGGGCTGTGAGCACCTTTGGGCGGAATCTACCTTTGTCCTTGCCAAGCAGATAAGATTTAAGAAGAGACTGAAAGGTATGCATGTAGGTGCAAAGAAATCTTAGGCTCTCCAAGTCACCCATTCATGAATGACCGTCTTCAGCTTTGTTTTGCAGAGCAGTATCTGTATTAGGTCCTTTCTGCCTTGAGCACAATACTCTGGTGTTGTGTGTCCTCTCACTGAAGTCTGTATGACAAACAAACAGCACAAAATGTTGACAGCGTGTCTGGTTTAAGATCACTAGCCCACAAGTGGCAAGATGCTCTTTTTTTATTGCTGAATGCAGTGCTCTCTACATGCACATATGCAATGGTCTTGTGTATAGGTGGAAACCTTGTGTTTGCTACCAGCAATACATGATGGTCACACCATTGTCTCGACATTCTGCACTGTTTTCCCAAAACCTGAAGAAATAGCATGTATTCCTATGAATTTAAACAGAAACATCTCCTGCGTACCCACAAGCCTGATTTAGTTGTGACTTTGTTGTATCAGTTAAGTAACCACTGTAGGATGAATGAGTTGTACATTGTCAGCCTCGGCCAGTTTATAAAATTGAGTTCCATGGAGGATGTACAAGCACAGGTTCCCTGCTCCCAAATATTCCCATGTAGCTTCAGTGTGGTGAGATTACCCTGACTGCTGGGATGAGCTGGCTGGATGTTTGCACATGTGCACAAACACACAAAGGCAGCTGGCAACGAGTGGATTAATCCCATAGGAGCAAAAGGTTGATCTTGCTGAGCTGGTCACTGGCAGAGGAACAAAAGCAGATTGCTCTGAGAGAACCTGAGTGTGGCTGTTCTACGGCAGCACTGTCCTGCTGTGTGCCCCTCTGGCACAGTGGCTCACTTAGAGGAGGCCTGAAACCTGGGGGGCAGAGCTTGGGTTGCTGCAGGCCTAGCTAAAAGGAGTGCTCTCTTCCATCCCCTCGCCCAGGCTGGCATTCAGAATGGCTGCAGTGGTAGCATTGGGAAACACATCAGAAGGATGCACACCTGTAATACAAAGTGTGTGATCCTCTAGTAAAAAAAAGAAAAAAAAAAAAAAAAAACCCAACTAATAATTCCTTTGTAATTTAATACCTTCTGCCTGGTCTCTTTCCCTTCACTTCATCTGAGACTCAAGGGTTTGAAATCTCTTTACACAACCCACTCTTTGCTATGGTGGCTCCTGACAAAAAATGGCTTTGACACAGGGTGTCATGAAAATCAAACTCAGTTGTCTTCTCACCTTTTTTCTATTTTTGCAAATAAATTAGTTCAGTGATTCAGATATTGTATAAGAAAGGGTGGTATATTCTATCTTTAAAATAATACAATATCAATTTGGATTTAAAAGCCCAAATCTGTCAGGCCTGAAGAGTGACCAATCATTTCCTTTCCCACTGTCTTCCAAAGAATCCTTATTTGGTTCAGAGAAAGTTTCCCCATTTACACAGTGATTCTTCTTTATGGAAGGGTTATTTTCATTCTCTGTTTCTCAGACCTTTTCCTATAGATGGGAACGGGGGAAGGAGCCCAGACGTGGCAGCTCATTCACAGGCTCCTGCAGGACCACCATGGCTTATGATGGCGCCAAGAAGAAAGAAGGTATGACTGCTTCATAATCTCAGAGGGATTTGCAAAAAGAATAAACAATACAATATTTTAAAGGGTGCCCTTTGCAGCCCTTGCCAGGCCATGCAGTCAGAGTGGGAAAGAAGTTAGGGTGCTGTGGAGCCCTTAAATTTTACCTGGCCAAGATATTGGAGGATCCCAAGCCTTTCATTTTCAGGTGTAAAGCCCTGGGATTAGAACTTGAGAGAAATGGGTGGTATTTCCTACTGCAGACACCCTGATTGGGAACTCTGCCACTGCAGCCTTTCTTCTCCCTGACAAGTCAGTGGGACAGGGGATGAGGGATAATGACACATTTAGTTGTGGTAACATTTCTGGGTCCACTTGTATTTAGGAAGGAGCATACAGGCATTAGAGACATGATTGTGTTAGAGCACCAAGCCCCATCCCTCTGGTCAGACAGTACGGACTGTATGTTACTTTTCAGACCTCTGTGCTTGTTGGGTTCTGTACATCACTCTGTGCCAGTATCCTCTGTTAGCTTATTTTAGGAGTGGTCCACTTGTCTGTCACCCCTTAATGTGGCATTTAATTTCTTCCTTTTTTTCCCATTTCACATAAATCACAGAGTCCCTAGAGAGTCACCGAAGTGTTGATGACGGGCTGGCACCTGGCAGGATACAGCGAGAGAAAAAGCGCTCGTACAAGGATCTCCTGCAAGAGGAAGATGAGATAGCAGCTCAGGTAGAAACCCTCAGAGAAAAGGTTCAAGAGATGGAATGGGTTTCTTGTCCTTCTTTCGATTTGTTTTTTGTTTAGAAATGCAGAAATGTGGAAGACAGCAAGAGCTGCTAATCATGTCCTGTATTGTTCAGTAACTTTCCTGTGGAAAAGGGGGGGATCAATCCCTGATTCCAATTTTTCTGGCCTCAGAAAATGAGGTAGTAGGAGTGTTGTCCCTGAGTTGATGGGATATACCTTGCAAGTAAGAAAATGCTATGAATAACTTCTTAAACACATTTTTAAAAAATAGCACTTATAGTTGTAGAAATAGGCAGCAAAGGATGGATAAAATATTAACTGATGCACTGTTGTCATCCTGATTCTGCAGACAGCCTGAAAGGATGGCTCTTGAGAAGCATGAACTTCCCGTGTTTGCCTCTTTGGGGCCTTAACCCTTTGAAATGAGAGTTGCACACTTAGTGAGTGCCACATAGTGGCAACTTAAGTTTCTTTAAAGCTTTCCTCTTTGAGCTACAATTTCTGCTGTTAGCTCAGAGGTGACTATCTAGTGATTTGGGGTTTTTTTTTACTCTCAAAAGCCAGTTCTTATTTAAAATTAAAATCTTCTACCATGTGGTTAGAATTCTTTAGAGGAGCTTCAATTTCTGTTTCATAAATTGATCAAGCCACAGATAATAATTAGGTGACATGGCATATTAAGGACGTATTTTTGTCCCATCATTCTGGTTGTCATCTCTTTGTACCTCCTGTTACTTCTTTTTCAGCACAGTAAGCATGAACTGTTCTCCTTTGTTTTCAAGGCTTGACAGTCTATGTATCTGAAGTTAATTCTTAGCTTTATTAAAGGGTAGATGTCTGTCTTTTATCAACTTCTCAGCTGATTTTTAAGTGATGGCTTGCATTGCCCATATCTCAACACTTTGCAAATGTGCTTTTTCTTTGCTGTTGCTCCTCTCACTTGGGGGTCTCCCTGCAGAGATCTGTCTTTCAGTTTCCTTGGAGCCCTGTTGTGCTGCTGTGCCTACAGAAAGCTCGATGTCAATTAGGTGACCTTTGTGCTGAAACCAATCCTGACTAATGATATGTTTTGTATTCTCCCACCTCCTGTAGCATGTGTTTTGTCTTACTTCAAACCTACACTGTGTGCTCTAGGGGACAGAGTAGGTTCTCTTTAGCACATAGAAAGATGATCCTGTTTCATACCTACAGATCCTTGATGTTACAGCAGTTACCTCCTATAAATATTTATCTGCTAATAGTCCATGTGACTCTCATATTATTTTCCTCCTTTTTGACAGCAGTTTTTGTCTTCTTATTCCAGGACAGTGAGTTTTTTCCAGGGACAGAAGCTCACAAAAAGAAGAGAAAGCATTCCTCTGATGAATTCTGCTACAGAGGTAAGGTAGTAATGGAGCAGGAGAAGGGGCTAATAGATCATGACTTCAAGGAAAGGATGCTCTTAAACCAGTGTCATCAAGCTTTGTGGTTAGCATTTTACAGGAGGACAGTACATCAACCTGCCTTAGAACAGCTAATCAGAAACCTGACACTGATCAGCACCAGACAGCAGAAGGTTAGGGAATTATATTTTCAGTCTACCTTAACAAATTGCCATTGTAGGGGGTGAAGATCTTCCATCCCCTTTTCATTGACAAGTTGTAGTTTTCTTACTCATGCCTTCACATTTGACATTTGTTTTTCTTGTTTGCCAATTGCATTGAAAACTAATTATACTTACAGGTAGTATAACTTTCTCTGAATTTATAAAAATAGAATATCTGAGGTTGAAAAATAAATGCTTTTCTGTTCAGTTAGTCTCACAATTAGTAAGTTGGCCAGAAAATGACAATTTGGCTCATAGAAGCTTAACACATTTAGGATTTATTATTGGCTCAATAGAAGTAGAAAGTCAAGTTGAAATTTAATCTTTCATCAGTATCTGTGTACAGAAAGAAAAAGCTCATATTTTCAATTCATTGGTTTAACCTTCACTAAAAATGTCAAAAAAACCTTGCACTTGAGGTGTGATTTCAGTTAGATGTATTTGCATCAAAACATTTTATTTCACAACTCACAAATGGAGTTTCACAAAACTTCAAGAACTTTCCTACTTTCTCTCTCTTCCTTAAATTGTTTGACCAGCTCAGGTGTCACAGCCTCTGAATTGTATCAGTAAGGCTGTGCTGAGCTGGCTGTGGTTCTTTTTAAGCCAGAATGTAAATCTGTCACCTGTAATCAGGAGGCTCACAGGATTCTCACTTCCCTTCTTCGCCGTCTTTGAGGGAGTCATCTCAACGTACATTTCTTTTGATCTTTTCAGGTGTCTCGCCTTTGGATCTACCATCAAAGAAGAAGAAAAAAGCATCTTCTAGCCCATCCTCAGCTGATACAACCATGGATTTACTTAAGGCTGTCAATTCACCTTTGGCCACAAGCTCAAAGTCTTCAAAGAGGACCTCTGAAAAATCATCTCATTCTTCCTCTGCCCATTCTGAAAGCAGAAGGGAGCATCCCAAGAAGAAGCTGAGTGGGAGTAGTGGGGAGCACTCAGTGGATGACAGCAGCTCCCACAAATCTAAAAAAATGAAACCTCTCTATGTGAACACAGAGACTCTTACTCTCCGTGAACCTGATGGCTTGAAGATGAAGCTCATCCTTTCACCAAAAGAGAAAAGTAGTGCAGCAGATGATGATTCTTTATCCTACTCTTCAGCACCAGCAGCTGCAAAGAAATCTTCAAAGAAATCAGCTCGAGATGAGCAAGGCTCATTCCTGCTGGGGCATGATCTGCAGAACTTCCTGAAGTCATCCCGGAAAAAGCACAAACCACTTCCGGACTCACATCCACCTTCTGAGAGTTTTGGTGCTGACACCTCCCTTCATTCAGAGGGCCATGGAAGCGAGTACGAGGTTTCAGGTATGGAGGCACCGCCAGAATCTGGTTCTTCCTCTGGTGGAGAGTTGGAGGCTGGAGAGCTGGTGATAGATGACTCCTACCGGGAAATCAAGAAGAAGAAGAAGTCAAAAAAAAGTAAGAAAAAAAAGGACAAGGAGAAACACAGAGAGAAGAAGCACTCCAAGTCTAAAAAGAGTTCTGGGCACTCTCCTGTGGCGGTAGCAGAAGTAAGAGTGTCACCACCACCTGCCAGTACCCCCTATGTTGTCCCTCCACCTCCTCCTGCTGTTTTTCACTCAGATGGTCAAGGTGAGAAGAGGAGGAAAAAGGAAGACAAGGAGAAGGACAAGGCTGAGAAATGGGAAAAGGAAAAGGAAAGAGAAAAGGAAAGAGAGAAGGAGAAGGAAAGAGAAAAAGAAAAGGAAAGAGAGAAGGAGAAGGAAAGAGAAAAAGAAAAGGAAAGAGAAAAGGAAAAAGAAAGAGAAAAAGAAAAGGAGAGAGAAAAGGAAAGAGAAAGAGACAAAGTAAGGAAAATTTGAAAGGAAAATAGAAATTGGGTGGTGGGTAAGGGTGAATTAAGCACTCCATTACAAAGGCAGGTTAAATTGACACAAAGGATAACCAATGCCAATGGTTTAACTGAAGCATGTTTGGAAAAATGTGTCAGCCACTGTGATTTCTGTTTGCAGCAGAAGGAATATATGTTCCTCTGGCTTTGTGGCACAGACAGTCTTTAGCCAGTACAGGTTCTCTGGGAAAATTATACTTAATTTTGCTTGGTGTGGGTCATGTACCAAGCACATCTGCATCTTTTTGTAATGTGACTGGCTGTAGCTATTCCCAGGCAGACTTTTGGACTAGTGATCAAAGTTCCTGTAAAAAGGAATCAAGCCGATACTTGAAAATTGAAAATATTTGCCCATTTACTCCTGTATTCAAATGAAATTCTAATACTAACAGACTTCCATGTTCCCGTTTTTGTCCTGTACTTATATATTCAGTTTTCCATGGTTACTGCATAAAGGTATGAGTGGCAGAAGTGGTAGCTAGTGTATGAGCGAGTTTACAAACGAGATAACTGTAGCTGTGTAAGTAAATGGGGAAAAGCAGCTTGTGCACGTTCAGATAGAGAAATAATGCTTTGTGTGAGGAAATGGACAGACAGCGCCCAAATCTCTTGAGCCATCATCCTCTTCTGTTAGGGATTTTTCCTTGATCATAGCTCAGCAATTGCAATACCTTTGCTGTCAATGTACTGCACAGTCTTTTCCTGCCAAATGGAAGTGCTTTGTAACAATGCAAGGAATGGAACAAAACATTATCATGAGGACTTAATTGTTTTGACAGATCTGTAATAGGTACTGTGTATATAGTATCTGTATAACAGATACTGGGTTTTATTATAGGTTTTAAAACTGAAATACGTTAACAACGTTGTATGTTGATCCTGAATTTAGAATAGCAGCTTCTTGAGTTTTGCAACATAAGCCTTGTACTGTTTCTGGCTGATTCCTGTGCTTTCATAAAGACTAAATTCAGCCAGGAGACATAAAGGACTGCTTTTTAAGTTTTCCTGACCTAAGTACCATATCTTTCTTTAAGTCTTTAATAAATGCCAAGTTCTTATTAAATTGGAGGAGGTCTCATCATAATTAAAAATCTTTGTTTCCTTTCTTCTTCTCACTAGCCAAAGAAGAAAAACATGTCTGCTTATCAAGTGTTCTGTAAGGAATATCGTACAACTATTGTGTCTGAGCATCCTGGAATAGGTAAGGGAATAATTCAGCCTTCTCTTCTCTTGATTTTACAACAGTCAGAACATATTGTCTCTGTTTCAGACCAACTTCTTAATTTGACATAATGCAAAGAATCTGCCAACATTATTTAGAATAAGATACGGCAAAGAGGCTAGGAGTGGATTTCATGGTTGTATTATAATTTTATTTTAACTAAATTGTGAATGTAGGTAAAGAAATTGCTAGCTTTTTCTTAATGTAAAGAGTTACTTTCTTTGTTGTCACTTTCCTGTAAACACTCTGACTTCAGCTTCCTGCTATCAGCTTTTTCTTTTTATTTTAATTAATTTTAAAGAGTAACAGGAATGCACATTTTCAGGACAGTGTGGAGAGTTCCAGTTGTAGAATGGCTTGCTTCCTAAATGTGTATGGAGGGGCTGGTAAATTTCCTATGTTCTCTTCATGATTTTATGATCAAATTTGTTTCCTTCCTTCCTTCCTTTTCTTTCTTTTTGCCAGATTTTGGAGAGCTAAGTAAAAAACTGGCAGAAGTGTGGAAGCAGCTACCTGAGAAGGATAAACTGGTGAGTGTTTGTGTGAGATGTTTTTGTAAAATTATTTCTGTGAACTAAGTACTTAGAATATGGTGGCAGCATTGCCACGATGCCTTGAAATATGTTACCTATATCCTTAAAGCATGTAATGGTGGAAAGTGTGGAAATCTTGCCCTTGCAAACATAAAAGCATTCATTTTGTTCTCATGGGATTGCTTCACCTCCTAGCTATGTAATGTCATTCTGCCTCTGGGTGCTGGCATCAGGTAACAGAATTACCTAATGTTATGAATCTTTCTTTTCTTACCATGGTAACTACAGATCTGGAAACAGAAAGCTCAGTATCTCCAACACAAGCAGAATAAAGCAGAGGCCACCACTGTGAAGAGAAAGGCATCATCTTCAGATGGTGCACCAAAAATTAAAGGTAATTGTTGCACTTTATTTGTCTCATCTCTTTTCTTGGACAGAGAAAGTAGTTTTGCCTGTGGAATAAAAAACAAAGGTCCTTACCTGCTTCACCTCCTTACCTGCTTTCTCACAAAGCATGACATTTAAATCACTATAGTCAAATGAACTTTTCTGTGAGAGTGAGAATGATGTCAGCATTTTTCATAAAGATTTTCTTATCTGATTCATAGAATGGTATTGGTTTTGGCAGTTTAAGGATTGAAATGTAAAAGAAGAAGAGGCAGAAGGGAGGTTCTAGTGGGATTCATTTGCTGCTAGAGAGAAGATGGTTGTTCTTGGTTTAGCATCTCTGATACCAAATCTTCCCAATTGCATTCAGCTGAGGTAGACATTCTGTACATGTAAGAAAAAAGTTTCAACTCTGAAGACTGTGGGACTGGGGGCAACAGAAATATTAAAGCATCATGCCTATGAGATTTGAACTTTAGTAACTAAATAGGCTTGTGAATAAAAGAGTGAAAGCAAGGAATATGGAATTTTAATTAGTGTGTTTTCCAGCTTCTCCAACAGGAGTGGTTTCTCCTCACAAAAAATCCCCCCCCAGCACCGTGGTGGTGCCTTCCTCACCAGCCAAAGCCCCTGAGACAGATCCCATTGACGTAGCTGCACATTTACAGTTACTGGGTGAATCTCTGAGCCTCATTGGACACAGACTGCAGGAAACAGAGGTGAGCTTGTAACAGCAATGTCACAGTGATGTCCTGTAATCTACACAATGCATTCAAGGGGATGATTATTTTATTTTCTTGAAAGTTTAACCAGTGGTTTTCTGTTAGGAAGAGAAACTAGAGGTGGCATGCCCTGTTTCTTTGATGCATTGTTCTTTATCTTCAGTGAAATAAAAGGCCTCAGCAAACAGTAGGCATCAAAGAAAGACGGTGCTTTGCAGTTCTAGGACCTTGAAACCAATTTGTAGTTCAGCAAACTCTATAGTCTTTTCTTGCTGTATGTTCACCTTGGATTTAGTACTTCCTTGCTAATTTGTCAGTCTCTGGTCAGTTTCGGTTACTGTTCTACTTTTTAGAAAACTCTCAGCCTTTCCCAAGAAGTTTTTTGCATGTCCTCTAGTTTTCTGGCAGTACCATATTGCTAGCGCTTTGGATAGGTGCTACAATTGTTTCAACTTGCCTGGTAACATAATATCACATTTTAATAGTTTCCTGCTCTTAAACGACAGTGACTCGGAATGTACATTCGCATGTTTATACTCTGAGAACTCAGCCCAGCTTCTAAGGAGAAAACATATTTTTCTCAAATAGTATCACTGAGTTTTATCAGTAGCATGATAATCTCATCCCACTATGCTTGCTTATTTTATCAACAGTGAAATAAATGTTCTTGCATTTTGGTTTTGGTATGACTGATTTGAGATCATGAGAGGAACAGCCAGAGCCCAGAAAAGCACACAGACAAATTCCCTTTCCTGAAAGTATATCAATGACTAAAGTATTTGTTACAGGCTTAGCATTTCTTTAACTTGAAAAATAAAACAACTATTGTCATTAGGACTCCTGTAGTTAACAAAATAAATGGCACAGAAAATATATTTCAAAAATTTGTGGAATCAGTATTTTATGCAACCGACAATTTTCTGGGTTTTCTGTTGATTCCTACCTTTATCTTGTGCGAGTTCATTGCCTACTGATAAGTAAAGTTTTTGAGCCAGCAGTCTCTCTGTGAAGGACAAGGCACAGTTTTGTTACTGTGTAAATAGTGAAAGTGGACTGGAGGAGCTGAAGATACAGTATCTGTGTAAGAGTATACAATTTTTTTCTTCTCTCCCTACCAGGGAATGGTGGCTGTTTCAGGAAGTTTGTCAGTACTCCTAGATTCAATCATCTGTGCTTTGGGCCCGTTGGCATGTCTGACCACACAACTGCCTGAGTTGAATGGCTGCCCAAAGCATGTTTTGGTGAGTTCTTTGTGGTTATTTTCTACCTAGCTCTGTTAATTTCAGTAGAGTACAAATAGAGCTTTTTTGATTAATCATTGTAATATAATTACAATTCCAATGCAGTAAGAAAATTTGTCCCGGTCATGGGCTTTTATAGAGGAATATTTATTGATATATTTATCTTACAGATACTACCACTGTACAATATTGTGAAACCTTTCTTTCTCCCAGTGGCAACTGACCTAATATTTGTAGTATTGATTGCAGTGTGGGTAGGTCCTGTTTTAGTCATGATGGAGTTAATCAGTCTAAATCAAATAAAAGTAAACCAGTATTTTTGAAAGTTCTAATTTTCCATAAAAATAAAATCCACCTTCTAGCTGCTCTTTATCCCACAATCTGGTTTTCCTTCAGTAGCATAAAAAACAATTTGTGGTCTCAGGATTCCTGATGTGATAGTGTAGGACCTTTTACTAGTGGCTGAAATCTCTGAGAAAAGAAAAATAGTCTCTCTCTTCAGAAGCTGCATAACTACAGTTTATTTTCTGCTTTAAGCAACTCTTAATATTGAGCCCTGATTTAGCAACAGCTCATGGCATCTGTGTAGCCTCATGTGGACATAGATTAAGATGGCAGCAGCCATCAGGAGTCATACTTCCTACAAGAGACATGAATAAAGCAGCAAAGGAGAGGAGCAAAAATAAAAAAATACAATCTGCAAAAGTTAAGAGACTAAAAAATCTGGAAGAGGGGGCAATGAAAATGGGATGTGAATTGACATGTCATAATAGTGCAGCCCAAACGTTTATTCATTACAAGAATGGATTGTCAACTACAGGAACAAAGTTGACAGTTTAGTCTGTGAACACCCACAAACTGGCTCTATGCACAAAAGCTGAGTCAGTGGGGTGTTCCCATCTTAACCATGGAAAAACTGATGCTTTTTTTCCTTCCTGCTTGCCAAGTTTATTCAGAGCTGTAACGCCACATGACCAGTGGTGCGTTTATTAGAAATTCAATCAACTTATTGTTACAAGGAGCAATGGAGCTTTAAGTGAATTATGGCAGCTGTGCTTCACTTCTGGAAATCGTGTTCAGGAGCTGATAATTAATCTGATTTTCACAGTCAGGTACATAACGACGGTGGTGTTCTGAGACAGGGATAAACTCCAGCGGTTGTGTTGCAATCTGTATTTGAGACAGTAGGTGGCATTGCTAAATTCTAGAATCGTAACTGGTGCAGCTCCAGCTCCTCCATCTCTCAGTAAAAGGTGCTGCTGCGAAGGTCTCCTTCAGCTATCCAGGCACAGGCTTCAGAAACACTGCATCTGAAAAACATACAGCTGGGTCTTTTTTTCTGATGGGCCTGAGAAGAATTCCTGCTCTCAGAATTCTGTTACATTTTCCAAGAAAAATTGACAGGCACTTCTTTTTGCCATCTGACACCCTATTAGAGGTGATCAATAGACAGTTTTGGTTGTCTCATCCTATGATAACTTGTAACCCAAGTAACTGTGCTTAGTACCCTCACCTGTGCCAGTTTTTCAGGATTTCAGGTTATTACCTGACACTAAAAACCACGGAATTTCTTTCCCCAGTCAAACACACTAGACAACATTGCCTACATCATGCCTGGACTTTGATGGGAAAGGATCCTGGGATGTACTCAACCTCTGTGTGACTGACTTGTGTACGTGCACTACACCGGCGCTCCCGAGGGGCTCCATGTGGAGGCTTTTAAAGTTTTATATGTGTATAGTATATACATAGGATTGTAACTATTTGACTTGTATTTTATGAAAAGTTGTGAAGGTAAGCTGAGAAAACCCTTTTGTGTTGGTGGGTGAAATGTCCTCCAATCTGAAAGTATTTTGTATGGAGAATTCAGAAAGCTTTTGAAATATTTGCCTTAAATTCAGATGTAGTGGGGGAAGCAAACAGAGAACGGACTTCTCAATATAAACAAGAAAGCTGTCTCCATGAGAGGAGTCATTGAAACAGGTGGCCCAGAGAGGTTGCTGACTCTCCTTCCTTGATGATATTCAAAACTGAATGAGCAGCCTGCTCTAGTTGTACTTGCTTTAAGCAGGGAGATGGACCAGATATCCCTGTCCAAACTAAAGTATTCTGATATTCTGTGGGCAGGTAGAGACGATACATTTTGGACCAGGGAATAGAACTGAATTCTTCACCAGCCCTATTTGTAACTCTTTCTGTTTAAAACACACTTCTTGAGGGGAAGCTGGATAGCTTTTTGCCTCTTGGTCACTTTCTCCAACCCCCACGCCTCAGTCAGTAATAACTGAAAGTTGTCAGTGTCAGCTGGCTGGTCTGGTAGCTGGCATTTGAAGTGAAGTAGATGACAAGAAGTTCAATTTTTCCTTGTGGACTCAAGTCATCATTAGCACAATGTATCAACCCATTGCACTGGCTTGAGAAAATGAACCTCCTGTTGATTTTTCCATGGCATGGTCAGGCTGCTTTGATGGAAAGGAGTAGAGAAGCAGATGGGAAAAATTTGTGTTGCTTCTGCCCGTCTCGCCCCTGGTTTGTGAAATGGCTCATCCCCCATCTCTCTCACCAGCACTATTGCAGGAGCTGTGGTGCTGCTGCAAGGCAGCCACCAGTGGCCAGTTTGAAGCAGTTACGGCCAAGTAAGGCACGTGTGGGTTGATTGGACCGGTTTCTCTTCCTTCCAGCCACATACTTGGAGTTTGGTTTTCTGCTCCTCTGGAAGAGGAGCAGCAGGAGAACACTTGATTCCTTTTTAGGCTTTTGTCTGTGTGTATGTATGTGTATGTGGTGTTCATATCACATGTATTTAACTTTTACCAATATCTGTAACAGATTTTAATTTATCCTGTATATTTCTCTGTGTGTGTGTGTATATATTTATATATATATATACATAATTTAAAAGCAAAAATTCCTCCCTCAGCCAACAGTGTGTGAAAAATGTGAATCAAGTTTGTTTCAGTTCACTTCCTGCAGGAATCAACTCTATGTATAGCAGTAAACATGGGCATTGTGTAAAGAAACACCAGGAAGATTCTAAGAGTTTGTAGAAGCAGGCTATCTTGTGAAGATGGGTAGAACAACTGAAATATCATTTGACTCAGGCCTTATCAGCTCTGTAACAGGAAAGTTTTTAAATTAGAGAAGGGGCATTTTTTTACTTCCAAGTAAGTCTAGCTTCTGTTTTTTAGGACAGTTGAAAGTGACCTGTCCCTTATTGTAGCTGAGCCCCAAATCAGAAGTAAATTAAATCCTGGGGTGCGGAGGGTTTTTCTCCCCATGCCTCTTTGCCACGTATTCCCCAGATGTGCCTGTACAAGGTAGTCTGTCTCTTACAGATCTTTTCTCAGTGCAGTGAGGGGTTTTGTCAGCAGAGGAGGCACAGAAGGTTCTCAGACCATCAGGCCAGAACACATGTTTTAACAGCTTAGGACAAATCCCAATGGGCCTGGAAATAGGAAGGGCCCAGGAGGGAGGCAGTCCAATCCTGCTTCAGATGCTGGCCCATACTAAAGCATCTGCTGTTGTGAGCAGCACAAAATAACCGGCTCTTTCCAGCCCTTCGCAGCTGAGAGCATTGTGCTGAAGGGGTAGATCAGCTTTTGAAGGGGATCAACTTTAGCTTTGTCCTCTGTACAACTGAAAACTCTTGAAGAGTGAAAAACACACACGACCCTGGTGTATTGTATTTTTATTAAAATTTGTACACTTTGTATAATCTGTATCTTGTGGTATTTGGTACTATAGGGAAACTTTGTCAAGACTTAGCAGTTTTTATATTTTTGTTATTTCTTTGCTGTTTGGTCCAGATTACATTACAATTATACACAAACTTTTTTGTACTGTACTTACAATATAATTTTTTTTTTTAACTTCTGGAGTATTGTCGTTCATTTCTGGTATGTGCTGTTTTCTGCAGCTGTTGATACTGCTTGTATTTAGTGTTTCTCAGCAAACCACATCCAATCCTTACCCTCCTAAACTCACTCACTTGGCAGGCAAGCTGTACTGTTTCCAGCAGTACCAGTCACCCAAATTATTGCTCAGGTTCCTGACTGCTTGGGACACCCCCAGAAGGGAGATGTGGCATGGAGCACTGCAAGTAACACCAGGGCATTTATCTTCCGTGCTGCCTCACCTCAGTTCAGCTTCGTGGCGTTCAGGTGACGCCGGTACAGGAGACTCAGGTGTGTGATGCAGGAAGTCAGGCGTGGCAGCGTCAGAGCGGGATTTGTGCTGGTTATTAACGCGTCCCCGTTCTCCAGGTATGGGTGTTGGTTGATTGCAGCCTCAGCTTGGGCAGGGCAGTTGCCTAGGCCAGGAGCACGTCCCAGAACGTACCAACCACCCTGTGTAGAGTCACAGGATGGTTTGGGTTGGAAGGGACCTTAGATCATTTCCAACACCCCTGCCACAGAGACACCTTCTACAAAAAATTTGCTCAGAGCCCCATCCAGCCTGACTTGGAAGACTTCCAAGGATTGACATCCACAACTCTCGGCAACCTGCCCCAGTGCCTCACCACCCTCACAGTAAAGAATGTCTTCCTAACTCCCTACTCACACCGGGCTATGGAAAACTAAAACCATGGCCACGGGCTTTCCGGGGTTTGGGCATCGCTCAGGCTCCCGGGTATTCTGCACGAGCTCGGCGTGGCGGCAGAAAGCGGCGGAGGCTCCCGGCGGCGGGGGCCCCTCGGTTCCCGCGGCCGGGGGCTAAGGGCCAGCAGGACCGGGGACCCGTCGGCTTGCACACCGCCCTACCCCGGCAGCCGCGGCCGCTCTGCGCCTCCCTCAGCCCGTGGCACGGCGGGGCCGGTCCGGGCGGCGGCCGCTGGCGTCACGGCGGGGCTCGGCGGGGCCCGCCCCGGCCGGCGCGCGGGTCACGTGAACGGCGGCGGCGGCAGCGTCAGCTGATCGCGGCGCGGCGGCGGCGGCGATGGACTTTCTGCTGGGGAACCCCTTCAGCTCCCCCGTGGGACAGCGCATCGGTGAGAGCCGCACCCGCGCCCCCCGACCCTCCCCGTACCCCAGCTCGCCCGTCCGGCCCCGCGCCCCCGGGGGCGTCCGCCGGACCCTTCCTCGGGGAAATGCCGGCCCCGCCTCCGCGGCGGGACCAGCAGCGCGCTGACCAATCAGGAGAGAGTTCTGCTCTGACTGACGGGTGCTGCCGACCAATAGCGGGCGCGCAGCCCGAGGCGGCTCCTTCGGGGGCCCCGCCAGCCAATCCGGGCGCGAGGGGGTCTCGGGGTGGCGAGGTGAAGTTTGCTCACTTAAAGGGGCCGCAGGCCGGTGGTCCGCGCCACGCCCCCCGGCACCGCCGAGCCCCGTGATTGGCTTGGGGCCATTCTCGCCCGCGCCTCTTCGGGGGCTTCGGGGAGCTGCTGATTGGCAGGGCTCCAGCCAGGGCAGCCTATCGCGTCCGGGCGGGAATGGGGCGCGTGACCCGCGGCGGCACGAGGGGCGGCCGCGAGGCCCCGGGGCTGTGGGACCGGGTCAGCCGGGGCTGCGGGGACAGCGGGGCTGCGGGGACAGCGGGGCTGCGGGGCTGTGGGGCTGCGGGAACAGCGGGGCTGCGGGGTCAGTGGGGTCAGCCGGGGCTGCGGGGTCAGCGGGGCTGCGGGGACAGCGGGGCTGTGGGACGGGATCAGCCAGAGCTGTGGGAACAGCGAGGCTGTGGGAACAGCAGCCTCAGGTTGGGCTGGCCCTGGGGCACGCGGCTCGCCCAGTGGGACCAGTGTCCCCTACCCGAAGGACACAGGCGCTGGGCAGCTGGGGGTGTTTGCCCGCCCTGAGCCTCCCCACTCTGAGCTGTGGGACAGGCGGTGCCTGGCAGGGCCATGCCCTGGCTGCTGCAGCACGAGCTCTTCCATCTGGCTGTAGCTCACAGCATGGAGCAGCGGCTCCAGCAGTGAACACGGCACCCACCCTGTCCCCTGGCAGGCCCACGGGCACATGGTGTCCTGCAGTCCCTGTGCTCAGGGCAGTTTGGGGAGCAGGGGAGAAGGATGAGGCCTGAGAAAGCAGAGCAGAGATGCCGCAGTTAGAGAGAAGAAGACTGTCAACAGCCGCACTGGTGTCAGAACAGGGATGCAGTTCTTAAAATGCTTAGAATGACGATTCTGTTCCCCTGTTGTATTGCCTAAGGGCCTTGAAGTTGTGCTTGAAGGCTGATGCCTATTTAAACTCTCCACTTGTAAGTTTATGCACTTGCTCATTCTTGCTGTTCACTGCTTGTCAGACCTTTGCTGTTTGCTGTGAAGATCCAGTCCCACGTTCAGTCTTTTTGGTGTCCTTGCATGGGTGAATAGGAGGCTGTGCCTGGAGGGGGAACAGAGCAAGCAGCTGCTTTAAGTAATGTTTTTATTATAATGATTTTAGAGGCTACCCTAACGCTGTCCCAAAGTGTGTCAGGGGCATTGTGATGTGCCACTCTGGTGTTCAGACAGATACGTGAGATCCATTGCAGCCAGCTGGTGGAAGGATCATCAGGGAAGACTTTGTGTTACCAAAATCCTCCAGATTATCTTCAACACACCCCCAGAAGGACATCACATGTTTCATCACACGTTCCAGGAGAAGCTGTCTCCTGCCCCTTCCTGAATGAATGCTCTTTGTTCCCTCAGTGAGTGTATCAGATATGTCCTTGTGTTTGGGTAGAGGCAATCTGAAGGTTGCCTCACAGATCTTCTGGTCAGTTTAGTAACTAGATTGTAAGTGGGTTATACCTCTAGGCTTTGTTTCAATTAAATAAGGGGTTCCCAAGAAACAAACCAACAACAAAGAAGAGGAAAAAAGAAAAGATATTTCAGAAGTGTTGTCCGAGAGGAGTTGAGAAGCAGAGGTGTGATGCTAGGGAAATCTTACTGACTGGGGGTTGATTGGGATTATGGGAGTCCAAAGAGGTGGAGGAATTACAGCGTGTGAGAAACTCTCTGGAGGACTTGAAAGGGGTGGTGATTGAAAATATGAATATTTTCTCCTTTTGAACATTGCCTATCAGCATCCTGGGGACTTGGATAAATGCTATCTTCCCTGCTCAATTTGGGACACAAACATGACTTCCCCAAACTCGTTTGGTAGGTCTGTGGCAGCTGCGTGTCCAGCCGGTGAGCCTGATCACCAAACCTGCACAGTGCTGCTGCCCTGGGCTCTCTGCAGAAAGATACTGCTGCGTCCTTGTCAATTATTTGGGCAAAGTCATGTATGCTTGATATAGCTTATGAAGTCTAAAATAGCTTTAGATGAAGGCTAAGGAGAAAAAAAGTCCTCTGTGGCCGCTGCAGCAACGTTCTCAAATTCCTTCATTAATGTTAATCTAGTAAGACCCATTTATTTTGCTGACTAGGAAAGCAATGCTCAGATAATCTCAGTGATCTGTCACAGCATGAGTCAGTTGCAGAGGAGTAGGTTTTCTAGTTTCTTACTCACAGTTCTGAGATTTAGTCACAAAAGTTGCCTCTCCTGTTTTTGCACCGTGATGTCTCTACCAAAGTAAGAGGAATACAGACTCGCTTGTTTGGGGTTTTTTGTATTTGTTTCTGTTTTGTGGTGGGTTTTTTTAAACATCAGTGGTGAGTGATAAAGCATCACTCAAAGAGTGGTAAAGCATCATAGTTCAGATTCCCCCCTGGAAAGGGAAATCCACTATGCCTCCATCTAGGAGCTAAGAGAAGCTTTTTTTCTGTTTTCAAAATAGAAAATCTAATTTCAAGAAGGTGAATTTTCTCTGAGGGAGAGAATGGAGAAGAAACCACCAATGCTGTCTCCTCACCCTGGAAGTCTAAAATAAGTAGTAATTATAGCAATACCAAAAGGAGCAGAGGCAGGTTATTTCAGTGAGTGAGGGCAGGCAAGGGATAGAAGTAACAGTGTAGCACAGAGGTGACACAGATGTTTTTTTATGGAGGGGGGTTATTTTAAGCATGAGGACCAGGAAAAGTTGAGACTGTGAAGAGGGAGCAAGTGAGTAAGGCTCCTGGGTGAGGAAGAGAGGCAGATGCAAAACAATATACCAGAAAAATCCCCACAATCTTTTGGATCCCACCTTGCAGGTGTTCTGCACCCCTCTGTGGGCTCTGTGGGTCCCTGCAAGGTTGTGCTTCTCAAAAAGGCATTGCCTTGTCTTCTGTGCCTGCTCTGTCTGGAGGAAAAGGGGCAAAGGCATCAGTTGAAGTCACTTGATCCCTGAGAATTTGAGCTGATTCACAGGAAAGGAGCAGGAGTTCAGAGACACACATACCCACGCCACTATGTCAACACAGTCTGTCCATCACCATGCTTGAATTAGGTTTGGAGCTGTATCTCTGGTCTCTCTAGAATGCATGCTGTCCTCTCAGGCTTTGGGGGAAGGATACAGCTAAATGGTCCTGGCAGAGCTGGTGCTGAAGTTCCCTCAAGGGAAGTAAAAGCATGAGGCTTGTACAGGATGCTGATTTGGGCCTGTGAGTTTGTGAACTTGAAGGGAAGTTGGAAGAAGGGACATCTTGCATTGCTTTCTGCTGAACCTAAGCTGTCTCATGTGATGAACTGCTGGTGTCCTCAAACATCTATTGAAAGGGGTGAGAAGGTGCTTTGCTGAGGAACTTAGAGCCAGCAGGGAGCTGGCTGCACTGCAGGGAGCACTGTTTGAAGGCTTCATTTGGAGGAGCAGAGCATATCACAGGCAAAGGATTTCTGAGCAGCATCTGGCTGGTTATGGGTGCTTCAGGCCTGGGGTTGGGAGCAAAGGGGACAGGAGCCTGCAGAGTACCTTCTGTACTTCTGACTGCAGTGCTGGTGTGCTGCTGCAGGGACAGCTGAGTGGGATCCCCAGCCCCACAGTGCGCTCTCCCCTGCCACCAGGGCAGACACAATAACCTTGAAAAGAAGCAAACTTCTGGAATGTATTCGTAGCACAAAGCGGTGCACTCCTTTGTGCCAGTTATGCCAAGTGTTTGGCGTTCTTCGTTATCTGCTGGTTCCAAATAACTTTTATCACCTAGCTGCAGTCAGCAGGAGCACATCCAGTGCCACGCAGGAAAAGAGCCGATGCTCTGCTTCAACCCGTACCACAGTCCTGTGTGGTTCTGGGTCGATCTGAGCAATTTGTGAGACAGCAGACTGGAATCAACAAACCCCAATGCTGTCACACCCGGGGAGCTGGACTGGCTGCCAAAACAATGTGGCTTTGGAGCAGCCCCATGAAGGGCCTCCTGTATATTCAGCAGCCGGTTGGTTTGGGGCTTGGAGGGGGATGGCATTCATGGGCGCACGATAACCTCTGCCAGGGGAATTCTCTGCTGCAGGTCAGGCTCGGCTGGTAACACACACAAGTAGATGCTGCCTGATGACACCAGGCAGAGTGCTGGGCGTGTGGCAGTGCCCTGCCTCCTGTGCTCGCTCTTTTTAGGGACTTGTTGCTGTCCCCAGCCATCCCGGGCTCAGATTTCCTGCAGAACAGACAGCTCATGTGCTAATTACAGCTCATGAAATGGGGCCAGCCACCCTGATCCTTCATGTGACTAATTAGACTTTGTTTCCTTCCCTTCTGCAGGTTTTACAGAAGGGCAAAGTTCAGGATTTTGGAGAAAATTCCATATCTTACTAGGCTTGGACAGTCCCTTACAGCTTGGAAGAGAGCAAGAAGGATTAGAAGGGCATTAGCTCCAGCTTTCCCAATGCCAGCTAGACCAGGTCTTAATTTTTACTGGGTAAATTCAAGCCTTTTGTCCTTGGAATTGCCTCAGGGTCACATTCCTGTTTTCCATATGCTCTAATACTGCTCTTCCAGCTTTGCATTTTGTGACCCTCTGTTGTGTTTATGGCAGGTTTGCTGCTTTCCTGCAGCTCTCCCTTGATGAGTGTATGAACTGGGGTGATGGTAGCAGGATAGCCACAGTATTGTGGGGTAACAGGGGCAGGTTGTGTCACTTCTGGGGAAGCCCAGTTTCCCCCTAAAAGGCCAGGCAGGTGAAGGAGCAGGCATGGTTTATTTACATTCCTTTCTGAAAAGCAAACCTGCTGCTCGACCTTGGCAGGATTGGTGCATTTGGCGGTAAAGGGTGGTGGGGAGCAGGTTACAGCGTGCCACCAATCATTGGGAAGTGAGGAAAAGGTGTTTGCAGATTCAATTCATGTTTGTGTACAATGCGAAGGAAGGTTGGGGAGATTTGAACAGCAAGGATTGATGGTTAATGCAGGTTTTGTTTTGTCCTTTGTTTCTTCTGTAGCTCAGAGCTTCCAAGCAGGCTCAGCCCTATTCCCAAGTTGTGGGTTTTTCCTTCTATGTGCAGTGAGAAGAGTGGATGTAGACTTCACCTCCCTGTGTAGTGGATTTCTGTGATTCACTGCCAGTGGCAGCAAACAGTGCAGGGAAACTTCTGGCTCGTTTAAACCGTGATGTGTCATGAGCAGGGGATCCCGGACGAGAGCGCAAGTGAGGGGGGCTTTGTGACCACGTGAGCCAAACCCATCAGACTGAGCTGAGCTGCAGCCTGCCTGCCAGCAAGGCTGGTGTCCCAGGGCAGGAGGAAGCCTGGAGCTCTGACATTGTACTGAGTCCTGATCCCAAAGGAACCCCAGTGGAAAACATTTTCTGTCACGTGTTACGACAGTTTCCCCATTGATGGGTACATGCCCTGGTGCACCAAACACGCCTATTGCCCTGGATATATTCTCCACCACATCACCAATGCAACAGTGCAATCCTTCCTCCTGTGCCTCACTGAGGAAGCTCGGATCTGCCAGAGATCAGGATCCTGAATCAAGGAGCCTTAAGCTTACTCCAGTAACAGCCAGACCTTTAGAAAGGTGGAAGAGCATCAAGAACAGTCTGCCACTCTCCTTCACTGTCTGCCCTTTTCCATCTGGCTGTGGCCACAATGTCATCAGTATAATCACTGTGTAATCAATGCATTCTGTAGCCAACAGAAAAGGTGGTGGCTGGATTGTGATAAGATGCCGATAGTTTCGCACTGTGGTGTGCAATCTGTGGGAGGGACACGTGTATAAGAGGCTGCATTGCACAGTGGTGTGAATAGCTCTGTGCCTGACCCTAAACAGGACATGATGGATGTGCTTACCCAGGCAGGAATTAAAAAATCTTCTTCTTCCTGTGTTACAGCCTTATCTCATTACTCTGTGAATGGGCATTTAATTTCATTCCTACACAGGGATCTTTAGCTGCTGGGTCAAAAGCAGAAAAAGGCAGCTCTGCAGAGGAAGGACCTTTCAAAAGGGGTAGAGGACTCACAGCAGCAAGGGAGAGCCGCAGATTTTGCAGGGACAGCAGTTATGAAAATGCAGGCATTTCTGTAAGTATTTTGCTGGGACTGAGCTCTCCTGAAGAGCACCTGGTAAGTGCTGAACAGGTCTGGCCAGTTTTAATTCTCTTGCCCCAGTGCTAAGTCAAGTGTTTTGTAGGATGAGAGAGCTGGAAAGGATGGTTCTTGTCCTCTGCTTGCCATTTGCTGTGTCTGTGTTTCCCTGTGGTCTTGGGAGTGCGTGGGTCCCTCTGGCCCCGCTGGCCATTCTCTACTGGTGGTGTCCCTGAAGGCATCAGTCAATGGCATGGCTAGGACTGAGACATGGATGATTACAGGGTGGAGACACTGGTGCTCCCAGTAATAGCTGCTCATTTCCCAAATCTCTGCCTTGAATAAATAACATCAAGGCTGACTGAGGAATTCCTAATTAAAGGGGAGACAATCAAAGCTGGAACAATATTGCTTTGGCTTCAGCCTGCAGTTTGCTTCTGCCCACACTCCCTAGAGGCCAGAATTTCAGGGGAGAGGTATAAATGTTAAACAAGAGAATCCCTGCTTTAGTTTTCTATGTTTGCTTCTTTGTTTTTATAGAGCCAGTATACAAAAAAAAGGGACACTGATTCTTTTGTCTCCTTATGTGCTACAAACCAAGAATGGGAGCTATTGGCATTAGATCTGTATCAGTGTGAGCAGGCCGAACTCACGGTTTCTGGCCTTGCATAACAAAGCAAATAAGCCCCCTTTTCCTTAGCTGAGGAACTGAAGTCATGCTGAGCCCCTTCCCTTCGTGTGCAGGACACCAGAGATCACAGAGTGTGTTTGTGTGTCAGGAGCAATGGTGGCACGGGTGAAGCTGGGCACCCTCCATCCCAGCAGTGTGCTCGGCCATGGTGACACCTAGTGGGGAGCACCTGGTGGCCCGGAATTTGCACATGGATTTATCTTCTCACAGGTTTTAGTGGCAGCCAGGGAGAAGCAGGCTAGGGTCTGGGGTCTTGTGAGAACTTGACTTAAGAGTGCCAGGGCTGCTCTTAACCTTGGTTTCTGTTTTCCAGAGAGAGCTACTGATGGGTCTCTGCGGAGTGAGGACTGGGCTCTCAACATGGAGATCTGTGACATCATTAATGAGACTGAAGAAGGGTAAGAGAGCTGGCAAGGGCCCATATCCAGCGGCAGGTCCCTGCATTCCCTGTAACACCACATCCCTAGGCTGCAGTGCTAGCATGCACTGGTGGTGGTAATAAGCTAGGCTTACCAGCAATCCCTGAGACAAGACTCTGCTAGGAGACCTAGAGACATAGCAAAGCTGTCAGAGCACTTATTAGATGCTTCTCTATAATTTTGGTGAGTGCTAGGAGCCATTCAAACAGGCCTTCAGGGTCCCCAGATAACCCTCTGTTCAAGCTAGGCTGCCTCTCATCTCCAGAAGGCATATTTGCATTTCTTCCACTTTGATTTTTTCCCCCTTTGCACCCTTCTCTTTCTCTCCTCTGGGAATGTAAAAATCTAAAGGCTGCTGACTGAGAAGAGGGGAAAATCTCAGGCTGCTATTCAGTCCTCTCACTGTGCCAGTCTTTCTTGGGTTTCTTCTCAGGTATTTTCATGTACAGTCACTCAAAAACACTCAAAGTGGGTGGGGGAGCTCTTGTCTCCCTCTCCCTACAGGGACATGTTCATCAACCTGCCAGACTTGTTAACTCAGGAGCTGGGGATTTGCCAGTGAATTCAAGGGAGAATGCTCCTTCTCACAGTGGAGATGTCAAGAGCAGCATGTAAAAAAGAAAGTGTTACATGGAATAAAACATGTAGGTTTCACTCCTGCTGTCCTACCCCACAGTGATGTTGACAGAGGATTAGCAAGCCCAGTTTTCAGGTTCACAGTTGTATGGAAACAAAGTCAAACACCTCTACTTACAGACCTGTCACCACTCCTTTTCCACTACCCCACGGTGCAAATACACCTGTCTCTGTCCACAGTTCTCAGGCCTGAGCTGTGGCCACTCCTTTCAGGTCTGGGCACCTGATAACACAGCTGGACAGGCTCTTCCATTGCCCTGCAATGCCCATCCATTGACACAATGCTGCCCCACAGGCCAGTCTGCTTCTGCCCTCCTTACTGCCTCAGTGTTTCCACCCCACTTTTCTCTTCCAGCACCACTGCTCTTCCAGCTCAGCTTCTCTTCCTGTGCTCTGCATCTGCATCATTTGTGCCCTCTGAAGACCACAGTGGTCTGAGACCATGGTGTTTCTCGCCTCTGAGAACAGTTAATGAGGCCCTGCTGTGCTGTTGCTCTCTTACCCACCTGCCCCATACAAGCAAGATTTTGCTAGTGTCTCCCCTGCAGCTTTTGAGCCTCCTTCTCTTTGGGGAAATGTTAAACAGCTCCTCTTCGAGTAACACAGTAATTGCTGCAGCTTGGTCTCTCCTTCCTGTTTCTAACCCATGCCAAGCTTTTCTGTGATCTCCTCCACTTCAGTCTCTCTGCTATGGGATTTTGCTCTACCCCCCAGGAGTGTGTTTCTAGCATTGTTTTTACTCTGTTCTCTGTTGTGTCCTGAACACCTTGAGCTGTTGCAGACATCAGCACAGAGGCCTCTAATTTCATTAACAGCACTCAGGGACATGGCTTATTGGTGGACTTTGCAGTGTTAGGTTTATGGTTGGACTCGATGACCTTAAAAGGTCTTTTCCAACCTAAATGGTTTTATGATCAGCCAACCCCACTCCTCTTGCAGAACCACAAGCAAAAACTGCTTAACCAGTCACTGCTTCAAGCCATCCTGAAAACATGGTGAGGAGGGACACCTGCTGACTATGAGGCATCCAGAACCTGTGGCTGTTTTGCTTTGCCTCAACCTTCTGATGACCTTTCTTCATCTCATCTCTCCTTCAGGCCCAAAGATGCATTCCGAGCCATTAAGAAGAGAATTGTAGGGAATAAGAACTTCCATGAAGTGATGCTGGCTTTGACGGTGAGCAGTCAGGGCTCTTTCTCTGCTCTGTGAAACCCTGCTGTAAAGCTGAGTGCTGAACACAAGTTTTAGCACACATGCTGAACAGACACATGTACCTAAAGCCAACAAGGGTAACACATGAGGGCAGAGAAGGCTACAGCTAATGCTTTATTGCCTTTGAAGGTTCTGGAGACCTGCGTCAAGAACTGCGGCCATCGCTTCCACGTCCTTGTGTCCAGCCAGGACTTTGTAGAAGGTGTCCTGGTGAGAACAATCCTGCCAAAGAACAATCCACCTGCCATAGTGCATGACAAGGTGCTGACCCTCATCCAGGTGAGCCACGAAGTGTGAGCATCTGCACCAGTGCAGAGAGTGTGTGTCTTTAGGTGTTTGTAAAGAAGGCAGTTGTATGTGGTGACGGGCTGTACTGTCTCCTTCTCCCCAGTCCTGGGCAGACGCCTTCCGCAGCTCTCCAGACTTGACTGGTGTCGTTGCTGTCTATGAAGACCTGAGACGGAAGGGTTTGGAGTTCCCCATGACTGATCTGGACATGCTGTCACCTATCCACACACCACAGAGGGTATGGGAGCATTGCTGAAGAGAAGAATGTTGGGCACCTGCCATTCTGGAATAATGAGGGGATTTTCAGAATCTGTCTTGAATTTAGAGGGTTTTTGGGTGGTGAGAAGCTCCAGGACAGCCAAGAGCTGTTGGAACAAGATGGGGAGCTGCCATCAATATTTCTCCTCTAGTTGCACTGCCCTGACAAATGTGTGTGTCTAACATCTCCTCTCTGTCACTTTCCCCACCTTTGTAGACTGTGTATAGCTCCAACTCTCAATCTGGACAGAACTCACCTGCAGTCAACTCCCCTCAGCAGATGGAGTCCATCCTCCACCCTGTCACCCTGCCCCCCGGGAGAGGCACATCCAGCGACGCGCCCATCACACCCACACCAGAGCAGGTGAGTTGGACACCAGTCCCAGGATGTTGCTTACTCTTCCTCTGTTTGAAGTTGTTTCACAAACACTGCTCTGGGACTGCAGTACTGGTCCTGCCCCAGCCTCTGTCTTCTAGGAGCTGTTCCTCTAAAGCACAGTCCTTCAAGAGCTCCTCAGAGCTCCATTGTGCTCACAGTGATGAACTGGGATACTGTAACCATGGAGTGGTTATATTTCCCTAAAACAGGGCTGCTTGCAGGTAGAGGGAAGTGGGGTGCTGAGACATGATGCCTCCTTATCATCTTTGTTTATCTTGCCTTACTGCTTACTTTATATGAATCAACCCTGTCTGGCCATGTGGTTTCCAAAGGCTTGGGCTTCCTTACTTGTTTCCCCATCCTTTTTTCTCCTTTCTCACCCTGACTTCATATGACACCATGTTCAGCACCAAACCCCTAGCTGTCAGTATTTTGCATTCCCTTGCAGAACAGAGGGTATAAATTGTTAGAAAGAGGCTCATTAACAGCTTGTAAACCAGAGGACTAAACTTCAACTGCACACTTAGTTTTGGCTCTCCTGTTGAATGCGAGTTAATTGTTTTCCCCTCCCTTACACCACTTTGGAAATTAAGCAATTTAAATGGCTATCACATGGGAGCTGTTAGCTGAGGAGAGATTTGAATCATACCAGCATCCTGTGCTGGCTATTAAAAATCAAGGCTAGACTAGCAGCCAAGATGCCAAGTGAGGGCCTGGCATCTGCTACCAGCAAATGAATTTGATGGTAAGTCATGGAGGGGTTTCCTGCTGGGAGCTCCTGAGAGCTAAAATGAGTGGTGACCAATGAACTCCCTGGTGGCTGTGAACAGGCAGGCACACATGGTGCCATTCCCTGCCGTTCAGAGCTACCTCAGCTATGTCCCCAGCCTCCCCTGGCAGAGCTGTCCCTTCTCTTCGCTCTTGCAGATCGGGAAGCTGCGCAGTGAGCTGGAAGTGGTGAATGGGAACACAAAGGTGATGTCGGAAATGTTGACGGAGCTGGTGCCATCCCAGGCCGAGCCTTCTGACCTGGAGCTGCTGCAAGTAAGGAACACTGGGCAGGGTGGAGGGCTGGCACATGCAGCACAATTTAGCAATGACTTGATGGACTGAGGCCCAATGCATGCCAGGTGTGGGGAACAACTGGACAGTTTAGTGTGGGGCTTATCAGGGGATAAGGGAGACACAAGGAAGGTAGAGTTTCAGTGGTGGATGAAAATCGCATTCCTGAAGCTGGAATTATCTCACAAGGGAACTTGTAGTCCCCAAGGGCCTTTCTTTCTGGGTGATGTGTAACACAAAAAGCGTACAATTATTCCATGTAAAGCTCAGACTCAATTTACCTCTCACCAATACTTGTTGCCCATCAATAGTTCCTGATAGATCCCAGGAACTCCAGTTCTGGAGTATGTGTTCCAGTCAGTATTCCGAATTTGTGAGTGCTCAGCCGTAGTGTGACCTTAGTGGGTGGTGACTTGCCCTGCTTTGAACAGGAGCTGAATCGGACATGCAGAGCCATGCAGCAGCGAGTCCTGGAACTGATTCCCCGTGTCCTCCATGAGCAACTCACTGAGGAGCTGCTCCTCATCAATGACAACCTCAATAACGTGTTTCTGCGCCATGAAAGGTACCTGTCTCCTCCCTTCTCTTCCCTGCTCTCCCACAAGACTTTACTGCCCTTGAAGGCTGCCTGCCTATCCCACCCTTTTGATCTGCCCAAGAGTACAGTACTCAAGATGTATCAGTCTGTGTCATCCATCTTTGAGAACAAAGCCAAATGTTCTCATTTTTTTTCTGACTTGTTCCTGTCCCTTCAAAGCTGCTGTGTAAGTTCCTGGTGGGGTATAAAGATGTCCCTGTGGCATAACCCAAAAGAAGGAGGCACCTGCATGGAAAGAGCTGGTTTTCTAGCTCTGAGATAGATGGAGACAGAAAGAAATTGCCCAGATGGGATCGGCACTGCTTTTTTTTTCTTCCATTTCAACAAACACATCTTTGCTGGTTCATCCCCAGATGAACTGTAAGGAGAGCTGTTGGTTACGAGTAACTGTGGAAGATCCTAAGAAGCTTTCTCGCACCACCTCTCAGGAGACATCAATTCTGTGGGTCTTACTGGGGTATCTTGAGGGGAAATTGGGCCCTGAGCCATAGTAGGTAGAGTTTCCTACCTGGTGGGTAGGAAAGGGCAGACTGCGCCTAGTCTTATAAAAAAACTCTTGGGCTGTGGGTGAATGAGCCCACACTACTGAAATGCATCCTGTCACCTTTCTTGCAGGTTTGAGCGACTTCGGACAGGGCAGCCTGTTAAGGTAACTCAGAGCAACTGCCCCCCTGTGCAGCTTGGTTTGCATCCTGCAGGTCCAGCAGTGCCCTGCTGACTTGGAGGGAGGTTCAGTCTGCCCCACATAGAAATGGTAGGCTTTGCTATCCCAGCCAAGCTGCACCAGAGCACCTGGTGCGTGGACACCCCATTTCCCACTGCAAACCTCTCCTGCCCTGCCCAAAGAGCAAGAGCAGAGCAGCAGCAGTTATGGTTATTGAATAGTGAGATTCCAATTCCCATATGAGCCTACTTTGAGCACTACCCTGTCCTCTGAACCAGTACTCACCCTACTTACTGTCATCCAGCAGAGCTGGGAGGCTGGCTACCCAGGCATATGCTGCCCTGGGACACTATTTCCAGCCAGTGCTGTGATCACTGTCCCTCCTCTCCCTCTTCACAGCTGATATCTTTCAATGAGTGCAGAAGGGCTTTCCTCTCCAGTATCAATGAGCTAGGATTGTAGGGTCAGGGTATCTAAGCTTCAGAAACTCCCCACCATCTTCTTTTTTCTTTTTCCAAAGGCACCAAATGAGGCAGAGAACAGCTTGATTGACCTGGGACACAATATTCCTTCAGCACTGAAACAGCCTGAAGTCACCAGCAACCTTTCCTCTCAGCTGGCTGGAATGAGTGTGTTGCTATGTGGTTTTCCCTTCAGTCTTTCTCCTGGGCTGCCTTGAAAATCCTTTCCCACCCTTGAATCATCTCCCAAAATTATTTAGTCAGATTCCTAGAGTAACCTAGAGAAATGCCATGTGTTTTCAACTAAAAAACTCATGAAGGAACTTGTATATGTCCTAAGGCACTCGAGCATATGTCTTGGCATCCTCACCTCACATTGTGCAGGAGGTGGCTATAACTTAAGAAGGACCTCAGCATTAGTCTGTGGTTAAGGATCTGGCTTTCCAGCCGGATTGGGGATAAAGTTGCTCCCTCTGCAATACCTGGCAGCATTGCCTACTTGCCTTTCTTGCTGTGTGGTGTCAGGCTCACCACTGAGGTCTGGGAGAAGCAGAGCAGCTGAAGCTATGCTGCAAAGGCAGCCATGAGCATCTTGGGCCCAGGACCCAGGATTTGACAGTTTGTTTACTCAAAAAACCTGAGGGGCCCTGGGAGTTCTTCAAGACATACCAACAGCCTACATAGCACTGCCTGGGTGCAGCTGCAGAAAACTGGCACCAGACTGTTTTTTACAGACAAGACTTTTTCAAGTCAAGTGTTTTTTGGATGATGCCTGAGTCATGAAAATTCTCAGAGGCGCTTGCCCAGAAGCACAGGTTATTTTCTTCTAGAGGTTATGGAGCAATTCCCTCCAGAGTTGTCTAAGATGGTCAGGAGCATCTAGCCTTCAGCATCAGTAAATTGATGCTGCTGCTTCTGTCTGAAACTGAGCCAAAAATATCTACTGTGTGGGCAAAGAAACAGCATCTGTTACTTCACCCACGACTGCATACATGCATACACTGTGCTGCAGCTGAGGAGCAGGATGGAGGAGTGGACCTAGAATAGTTTAGCCTGTTCCGATGACAATTTTCCATCCAGCACTCTCCAAGCCCATAGTCCTCCAATTACTGTTCTTTGCTGCCTGCTCACCCTGCTCTCTCTCCCACAGACCTGGGCTCAAGCAGTGTAAGTGCAGGACTGCACTCCCTCGACACTTCTGGCAAGCTGGAAGAAGACTTTGACATGTTTGCCCTGACCCGTGGCAGCTCGCTGGCTGAGCAGCGCAAAGGGTGAGTGGAGCAGCTCACTCTGTCCTGTCCTGCCTTCTTGCAAAGGAAGAGGGCTCAGGGAAATTGGGGCCACACCCCGAGCAGCAGCAGTTCCTGGGAGACAGCAGGATGAAACAGATATGCACTTTTCCACGCATATTGTTTGTAGGATGAGCTCTGTGCTCCCAGTCCATTTTCCTGCTGCCATCATCTCCCCTTCATGGCATCCACTGGGTATGGGGAGAAGGAATTAGTCTCCCACATGTTCTGGGAGATTCAGTGTCTGGGAATGAAGGTGTGAAGTAGGACTGGCTCTGTTTTCCTGTCTGCCTCTGAACTCATGTGTCCTGACTGGGGTGATGTTGAATTTGGGAAGTGCTGAGTACTGATTCAGCCTGACAGACAGAGTATTGAGCTAGAGTGCAGAAAGAGTGCAGTCAGTTGTGGCTTGCAAGAGGGCACTGTTCTGTGTCTCAGTTTCCCTGTTGGCAAGTGGGACCGATGTTTCTTCCTCCATTGTGTGTTTGAGACCTCCTGATGTAAAGGACTAAGAGCTGGGTCTCCACAGTACTGGCTGAACTGAAGAGGCCTTCACTGCATAGTGGATTCCTGAATCCTTGTTCTGGAGGAGCTGTGCTGATCAGATCCCCTGGGTTTAGAGACTGGCTGATCTCACGCTGCTTTGCCTGGCAGAGCCATTCACTGCCCTCCACAGAGTACCAAGCAGTAGAGCCCACGGGCCCATCACTGCCTCCAGCCCTCCAAGGCCTGTGCTCCTGCACTCCTGCAGCCACTGGAATGCCTTGTTCTGCAGCTGGCAAGTAGCAAGTTAAGGTCTCTTATACATGTCAAGTTAAGATCTCCTAATGATGTCTCCTTTCATTCCTCTGCCTCACACTGCTTCTGGTAAATGTGGTGGGGAAACCCATGGCCTACACATGACTTCATGTGTTTTGTCCCTGGATTTCCCCACTGCTTTTACTGTGGGTTGTGCTGCCTGAGGACAGAGGCAGTCCAGCATAAAAACAGTTGTATCAACAGCACACAATCTGGGGCTGAAACCAGAGCCACTGCTATGTGCTCAGTGCTGGAGTTGTGGACAGAGGTGGAATTGTATCCTCCCTGCTGTAGCAGTCCTTAACAGGCTGAGGCTTATGATCTCTGTACAAGTAACAAGACATCTTCTATTTATTCCTCACTGCCCTTCATCTGCCTGCACTTGCACTCTTGCCAGGTAACCTTTAGTGGCTCAGGCTTCACATTTCACTGAGAGCCTCTGCTCTCAGTATCTCACTCCACTTGAACAGACCCGTTGCTCTACAGCTCCCGAACAGGATGTGCTGGCAGAGCCTCTGGGGTTTGCTTTTGACCCCCCATGCTTCATGTGTGTCTCGGTGAGGCAGTGCTTAAGGCACTTCAAGCCTTTCCTGCCATTCTTCCTCATCAGTGGCATGATAGCAGCGCTGTACTTCATCCTGGATGCCATTGTCCACAGCGGTCCCTTCACTGATGAGCACTTCTTTGAGAAGTTTGAGCGGCAGTGGCCCAAGCCCCTGGCCCCCAACAAAAGCAGCTCCTCTTGATGGTCTGCTGGATCTGTGGGATTGGGCCTGGGAGCAGCTGGAGAGGAAACTTGTGGAGAATTTCTGTGAAAGGCTTCATTTTCCTAGCATGGAGAGTTTTCCCCACTCGGCATGGATCAAACGGTGACGTGTGGCATTGTCACGTGCAGTAGCAGCCTAGAGGGGACACGGGGTTGGGATGAGGGAAATTATGGGTGAGACATGTCTGTGTGTGGAAAGAGATTGCTGTAATGGTGCATTTGGAGACTTGGAAGGAACACTAGGCTCTTCTGATCATCCAGTCTCACCTACGACCAGCATAGGCCAGTGAGCCTCTACCACCATCACTTCTCACGTGGTATTTAGTTATGAGCTGTGGTGAGGGCCTGTTTCTCAAATCCTTCCTAAAATATCTGTAATATTCTGGTCAGCCTGTGTTAGTTTTTTCTCTTTATAGTCCACCCCAAAGAAGGTGAGTGTTGTGGTTAGTGCACCTAGCTCTGTAAGTCTGTGTCTTGGTTTTCACGTAATTCCTTGTCATCCTTCTGTCACTGTGCCAGGGCCATCCTGTTGTATCCCACAATGTTCCAGTGAGTAGATTAGTCTGTTTTGTGGTGGGCTACACCTTTAATAAGGGCTCTGCACACCTTTCTAGAAGCTTTTGGTAGCAGAATGACAAGGCATGAAAAGTTGTGCAGTCAGAAGAACTGAACATGTGTTTAAGAGTTCCTGGTCTTCACCCTCAGGCATCTCATCAGCCTGTTGTCTCTCTTTCTGCTTACAGGGTTAAGTATGAAGACCCCCAAGCCACCAAAGGCCTTGCTGGTGCCCTGGATGCCCGGCAGCAGAACACAGGAGCGGTAAGTGGCCACAGCTTTTCCTGCATCACTAGAAATGCGAGTAACCTCCTGGCTCACCAAGGAAGTAAGGGTGCTGTCTGTTGGGAAAAAGTCAAGTGATGATAACTCCCAGTTTCCAGCAACATGCATTTCCTAGCTGGGCTGTATACCTCATTCTTAAAGCCCTGAGGTGAGGAGCTGTGAAAATTCTGGGGTTGCCAGTTGAAAGATGTCCCTCCCCAGGGAAATTTCCACCTGGAAATGTATGTTTTATTTCTCTTCAGCAAATTTCCAAGTCCAGTTGCCTTCTCTCTGCAATCAGAGAAGTGGGCCACCAGTATTAGTTTATTCTTTCCTTCACCTTAACCCCGCTGCCTCCCCTCTCCCTCACACTGCAATGCAGACTCTCTGTCATCCAGGGGGAGTCTGGTGCCTCTAGTGATGGAGCCCAGCTGACAAAGTGGATGATGCGTCAAGGAATGGTGAGATCTGAGGTCTTGGAGGGCCAGCAGGGAGGGAGGAGGCTGGGGCTGCTGAAACAGAAGTGTCACTGGCACAGCACATGAGGATGCACAGCAGACATCAGCAGATACTGCTAACTGAAATGGAGCAACCCTGGGCTGGGCCAGTAGTGAAGACTAGGCTTGGGAAGGAAGCAGGCAGTGTGCCAGTCCTTCCTCAAGTAAACATATGTGTAGGAAAAAGTCCTCGGAGCTCTGAGGCTAAGAGAGCATGTGTCACTCTGAGCTAGAGGATGGCCTGTTTTGGGGTGGGTGTCTGAGGCAGAGGCAAATAGCTGCTGGCATAATGAGGGAGGCTGCTACCATTCATTCTCCTTGCAGTCTCTCCTCCTTAACGAGAGGTGCCTTGCTTAAGGGAAAACACATTCTGACTTTAACCCTGTTGAGGGCCTACTCCTGTAGCTAGTGATTGAGCTTTCAGGCATTTGAATTTGGCCTTTTGGCAGCAGGAATTCCTGCAATTACATTCCCTCAGGCACACAGAGGCTTTGACAGCTCCTGGGTCTGAAGCTTGTTAGCCTGTCTTCCTGTAATGGGCACAGCCCAGCCTGATGTCTGCTCTAGGAAGTTTCCCCACATGCTGTACAGTTGGCTTGAATGCACTTCTACCCCAGAGAGATCCTCTCTGGGCAGGCAGAGCCAGTTTGCTTTGAAACTTTCCTAATCTCACACATCCTCTTCTGCTCCCATTCATCCATCTGCCAGCTGTGGTAGCTATCTGTGCTTGCTCCCTGGTTTGAGGAAATCTGCCTCTGTCTTTGGTTGCAAGGTGTTGCTCTTTTCTTTGGTCTTGGTGTTTTCCTGAGGGCAAGGGAGCTATATATATTAGAAAACTAATAAATAAGTTCCCACAAATACTCTCTCATTCTTCTGCTTGGAGAGCCTCTAGCAAGGGTTGCTTCTTGCTCAGCTTTGTTCAGGAGCTCATGACTGGAGAAAAGGATCTGGGGTTTTGAATCAGACTTTGTTTCTTTCAGGGTTACCTCTGTCCACTAGGAATATGACCCTTTGCTGTTTAAATTGACCAGGGCCATGAATTCTTCTGAGGTAGCCTCATCCCTACTGGAAGTAAAATTTCATTGTAGATGACTTCCTCTTTGATGGGTCTGTTTCAGTAGTTTGTTGTGATATCAAATCCTGCTGTGCTCCATGATCATATCAGGGAATCAGTTCTTGGCAGGTGTCTTTCCCCCTTTCTGTGCTGTCAGACCTGGCACCTCCAATATCTTCAGCACTGCAGACTTTGACATCAGACTGCCACTGATATGTAGAGGGTGAAAGTGTAGAGAAATGCATGTCTCTTGTTCTCTGGCTGCCTACACAAGCAGACAACTTCCACCTAGTGGGTCCTCACCAAAAAGCAAAGTCTGGTCCAGTCCTAATATCCCAAAGCCAACCACCAAACCACAGATGCCTTTAATGGCATGTATCCTGGAAACTGCGTGTCTGGGCATGGATGGGGCAGAGGAAGCAGGTAAGCAATGGCACTGATAGCTGGGGAGCTTTGCAGTGGCACCGGCTGGATCTGGATGGGCCTGAGCTGACTGAACAGAGTGAGAGGAGGAGCTTCTGGGTTTGGCTTTCTTTTTGCATAGTGGATTTACTGGAATATCCTCTGTTTTCTTGGCCTCATTGCCCTTTTTCTTCTGTCCCAGGTACCAGTTCCTCAAGCCAATTTCATGGAAGACATAGAAAAGTGGCTCTCCACTGATGTGGTAAGTGAGGGGCTGCCTTCTTGGAGCCAGCAGTCCTGCTGGAGTTGTCTGTGGGGCTGGACTTCAGGCAGTGTATAACAGCACTGGCATTGCTGAATGTGTGGCACAGACTGCCAGGAGGGACCAGGGAAGGAAAAGCCAGGGACACAGGCTTTGGCATACCACAACAGTATCATCAGCCTTCTGGGAGCCATAGACTGAGGCTCAGGGCCCCTCCAACGTCTGTATTGTGGAAGGGAGGGGAACACTGTCCTGTATCTCCATGTGCAAAAAATCTCATCTGTGAGATACCTACCTTCCTTCTAACCATGTCCTTCTCTTTCTTTGCTAGGGAGAATCAGAGGATCCAAAAGGTGTCACCAGTGAAGGTGAGACGTGCCAGCCAGCTCTTGTCTTTAACTGTTCCTGGCAGCACCTTGGCTCTTCCACAGACCTCCCTCTTTGCTAATGCTCTGCTCTTCTCTTGCCCTCAGAGTTTGACAAATTTCTGGAAGAGCGAGCGAAGGTTGCGGACCGCCTCCCCACTTTGTCCAGCTCCTCAGCAGGGACGTCTCTGTCCCCTCCTGCTGCCAGCCATCATCGGAAGCAAGCAAAGGAAGATGATGCTATGTTTGCCTTGTGAAAGCTATGGACCAGTGTGCTGTGGAGCAAGAGGCTGTGTGTGCTATTTTGCTTGCCTCCAACCAGGGGCCAGCAGAGGAAGGACTCTGTCCCCTTCCTCCATTCTCTTCCTCTTTTACCTTTGAGTTGTTTTTATTTTTAAGCTGCTTTCAGACTTCAGATAATCTTTGTTGTGTTTAGGGATATCATATAATAGACTTGTAAAGGGGGTTTCAAAGCTGCTAGAGAATGTGGGAGTTCAGTGGGCTTTTCTTTTTATGGTACAGTGTGGGCAAAGCAGAAGAAGCTCCAGAAGAAGCTCCCCCATCCTACTCTCCAGTGAGGTAGTTAGAGATCTTGCCCAAGAAGCAGGAGAGGCTGCAGTCTGCTGCTGAAATCATTCCTGCCTGCCTCTTTCCTCACCCCTCCCCTACAATGTATCTCGAGCCCTCTGCCTGGCAGTGTTAGACTGGAAAGCATGGGGATGTGAAGCATTGCTGGTGGCTGAGGAGGAACACTAATGGTAGAGGGACCCTGTTGCTCTAACCTCTCTTGCACAAGTGTTTGTGGTATGCAACACCTTCCCACTCACAACCCCTTCTCTTCCTCTTCCGCACCTCCTTTTCCCCATCAATTTATCCAGAATCCTACCCACAGCCCAGATGTTTCCATTGCATGACAGCCAGTCATCCAAGCCCTTGGCAGCACACAGGACTTCGAGCGGTACCCCAGGCTGAAGGGGCTGTCTCCCACGGGGTAGGATGTGCCTTCAGCAAACTATTTGCAGTTAATTTAATTCTCCATTACCCTACTTTTCTCCCAGTGTGATCCTACCTCCCTCTCTCACTTCCACTGATGCCTTCCACCACATTGTGCCGTGGTGTGGGGAGTCTCCGAGCCAGGCCAATGCTACCGACTCCCTCGGGATGGCTGTGTGTGCCGGGTCACAGAGCTGCGTCCCCTGAGGCAGGAGGCCCTTCCATCAGCACTGTTACACCAGTGGGAACGCGCTTTGCTGCAGAAGCTCCTTCAGCTGGTGAGCACAGAGGGGAAGTGAGACATCAGTCATCTCATGCCAGTAGAACAGCCCTGCAGCAGAAGCTCCTCTGCACATGGGGAGAAAAACCCTTCAGAGCAAACCGCACACGCTGCCCACTCGTAAATGAAAGCCAGGAAGGAGGGTGCCAAGCTCAGGGCTCCTGCTCGTGGGATTTCTTGTTGAGCATGGGAGAGTTGTCTTTTTTTACTGCACATTAAAGGAGCAAAGGCTTGAGCCTCCCTTGAAAATACAGTGTGTACTGTCAATGCTGGTGTGGGGAGGGGAGGATGCTGTGGGGAGAAGAGGGATGAAACCATGCAGCTACATTTGCTCTTCATGAAAAGGCAAGGGCACTGGTGCTGAGAGGAGAACAGCATGGGGGCTGAGGGTGCAGGGAACCAAGGCAGGTGCTCCCTTCTTTTTACTACAGTCTTGTGGGGAGGAGATTACAGGCCATCTCAAAATGGCAAGAGGGTGTGCTACCTCCTCTCCTTTCCCTCTGTGTCTTGTGACCAGATCTGAATACTCACCTTGTAGCCCATAAGCCACTATAAAGACATGCAAGAAATACAGTTGCTACTAAAGGGTCCTCTGGTATCCACAGGACATCCTCAGTTGTCCCTACACTATCTCTCCAGTGTCCAGCTGAGTGGGAGCAGTGGGAGGGATTCTTAAAAGGAAGCTGAGTGGACTTGAAAATGTCATCTGAAGAAAGGCAAAAGGGCTGAGCTTCCCCTGCTGGAGCATGTGCAGGAGAGGAAGCATGTGCAGGAGAGGAAGCAAGAGCAGGGTCATGATGGAACACAGGCTGGTTTTGTAACTGTGGGGCCAGAGGGGCCTCCAGAACAAGCAAGGCCAAGCCCTCTGGTGAGTTCCTGGCCTCGGGCTGCCTGCCTCAGCTGGGAAGGAAGGGCTCCTGGTGCCCCGTCAGCATTTGTGGATGGTACCAGCCTGTTCACACTGGTGATGCTTTAACACTGCTTCATGCCTCACCTGGCACTTAAAGTTCTCAGTGCCTCCAGCTCCCTCAGAGCACTGCCTGCAAATTCCCTGAAAGGAGAAACAAAGACATCCTGAGTGAATTAATATCCTGAGTATGGGGAGCTCAAACACCTCCTTACTGCCTCTGGGATGCCCTGAGCCCACCTCAGGATAAAGACCCCATCTTCACCCTCACCTTGTTTTTAATTCCCCAAGCAGCCAGCATGGGACCTGGCAAAGGCAAGAGGGATCTGTCCCCAAGGAAGGTTTGAGTGCAGCAGAAATGGGTTGCTGCTATTTTCGTCAAGGGACAAACAGATGGGAAGCATTTTTGGTGTCTGCCAAGTGAGGTCAGTTTGAATCGATGGCCAACAGGTGAAAATTCAGAGTGCTGCTTGTGGCCCCTAGGGTGAACCTGTCCCCTCTTGACCGTGCAGCCAGCCATGGTCTCAGCTTTTCACTGAGATTTATCCAACAGTGACAAGGTAGCTCTTTTTCAAGTAACTGAAAGTATGAAGTATGGGGATGGAGGCATGGAAAGATTCCAAATTAGTACTACCATACTTGTTATAGATTATACCAGTAATAGCTTGAATAATTCTGCAGGGTTTCTTTTGAGAAGGAACTTGGGGGGGGGGAAAAACCAAAACTGCTAGTTCTGCAAGGAATCATTTTAATTAGAGGCTGGGCACTTCGCATTGGCAAAAACTGCTTCATGATTGCAAAAAAAAGAAAAAATTAGAGAACCGTAAGAAATTCTTAAACGCCTTTCCCTTTTTAAGTTTTCTGATGTTTAGAAAGAACAGCGCTGCTCGCTCTGGCCACCAGATGGCTGTGGTCCCTCGCACACCCAGCCCGGGCTTCCCCTCCCTTGGCAGGGACCTGCTTAGAAGGCTCTGCCACATCCGGGGACAGAAGCAAAACAAAGTTTTCCCGTAGTCTCGTATGATGCTGAACCATCAGCCCTGTGCAGCCTCGCACACGCATTCATCCATCCACACGTGGTGACCGCACAGAGGACGGGAAGGGAAGGGGGGCTTGTGCTCTGCCTAGGCATCCATTAATAACCACACTGGGAACAGGATCCTGACCTGGACAGATATTTTGCATGACCCAGAACAGCTGTTGCTATGCCAGATGAAGAAAGACATAACTTCCTTGTACTGGGTCAGAGTTGCTCAACATCTCTAAAAACTAAATATACATGAAAAGTTAATGAGAATTTCCATGATGTTTGGGTAGTATGATACTGGGCATGCCAGCATCACATGCATACAGGCAAAAACTTACATGTTGTTCTTTTACCAACCACTAACCTCCAAATAGTACATTAATTTTTTTTAAAGGGTGGCAACAAAAATATGTCCTGATTTCCCACAGCAGTCTCACAAAGTCAGTACAGAAGTGTCCCAAGCCAGTACACTGGGAAGGCTGTTCTCCATTCCACAGGACTTTCATGTTGCTTTGTCATGTCAAAACTTCCTCAAAGCTTATTCTGAATAACAAAATTCTCCCTCCCTTCACAAAATGAGAACAAAGCCACTTCCCCTTTCCTTTAGATTTTACTGTGGGTGCTGCTAAGGGTGGATGAAAACGATATAAACAAATGAGAGGAAAAGTAGGTGCTCCAGTGCTCAGGAGCAAGGGAATAGAGATGGCCATTGACAGGATCGCTTCCCACGAGTAGGAGTTTGCTGCAGGGCTGTCTCCAGCAGCCTTCCTGCCAGGCTGGACATTGGCCCTTGCCATGTCTTGGATGGGGGGTGCAGGCGTTGCTACACTGTGCAACAGAGACACTGGGGGCTCAGCGCCACCAAGGAGACTCCTGGGGGCTCTGAGCAGGGATTTTCTTGGGGGGATCAGCAGTTCCCTCACAGCACAGAAAAGCTGCATGTGCCTGTATCCAGGTGCTTGTTTTCCTGGCCAATCTCAGCAGAAAAGCGTGGATCAGGCACGAAGCAAACTTGACAGCAGGGTGAGGCAAGGACACGGCTTTCCTGCGGCTTATGGGGAGTCTCTCTCACCAGCACAGAGTGGTGGGAAAATCTGTGTTTAGAAAGGTTGCTGTGAGGCAATTCACTGGTATTTTTAGCTGCTTGACCGAAAAAAAAAGCTTTAAATGCCAGATCGGTCTCAGTGAGAAAGAAGGAGATGGCAATTTGGCAATTTCTCTGAGCTCTTTAGCAGTCTTAGTCCAAAAAGAAGGAAAAGAAAAAAAAAAAGAAAATCTAAAAAGGTGTGGGTGATCTGCCAGCAGTGCCCCCCTGCCCCTGGGCAGGGACATATTTTGTGCTGGCATGCACACCATGAACCAGCAGCTCCAGCTGGGCATCAGGGGATGGCTGACCCCACACCAGGCACTCTCAGTCTCACCACTTGCCCAGTACCTTTGGTCACTCTCGGCCTCTGCCAGACCACACCCGGCAATCGAACACTTCAATTCAAATCCCACGTCGCCTTGTTAATGATTATTTAGCTAAAGAGCTGCCGCCGGCGCCCGAGGTCCTTCCCAGCACTGCTTAGAGGAAGGGCTGAGCACAAAGCACTGATTCCTCGGTGCCTGGGATGCTAGGGAAGGCATGTCCCCAAAAAAGGGGGGGGGGGGGGGGGGGGGGTGTTCTGGCTCTTTTGCTGTGCCGGTTGCAGTCCGTAAGCTCCATAGTGCACAGGACTCTCCAATGCTGAGCCCACTCTGCCCTAAACTAAGGTCTTTGAAGTAATATCTACCCTTTCTAACCCTTCTTTGGCTTATTTCTCTTCGTCAGCATGTATCTGTCACCCTCCCAAGACAGAGAGCAGCTCGGTGCAGTAAATAAGGTCCTGCCTGCCTGCCCTGGTAATGAGTGACAGAGGGAGCACAGTCTATGCCATAGACACCCTGTGTGTGTCTTGAGTAAGTCACTTAAATTTGGCACATCCTGAATGCCAGTCTCTAAAACAGATTCATTCCCATACATTGTACCTGGGTTTGCTGTTTTCCACCAGCACAGGTGAAAGGCAGGCACCCACCTGGCACCCCGGTGTCCTATGCCTTGATTCCCTCATATGGAGCAGAGACTGTCCTGGTCCCACAGCAGATGGACACGGCAATCCTCCGCATCCCAGCTCAGAGAGGGGTGCAGCTGTCCCAGCTTGGAACACCAGCTTTTTCAACCCTTCCTACCTCACCCAGTGTGGCTCTGGGAAGGACAGGACTGTGGAAAATGCCAATCACTTGTTTTTAAGATTTTAAAAGTTTAATAGTAATACAACGGTTATAAAAATACTAATATAATTAGAGTAATAAAAATTTGAACAACAGAGATTAGGACAATATGAGACAATAAGAAACAAAGAGTTACGGATGTCTGGACACCGTAGCAGAAGATTAACCCTTAAAAACTATAGCCTGTTGCATATTCATACAATTCATACATGATGCATAGATTCCATTCAAACAAAGGATTCTGTCTGGTCATCGTCAACTTCTTCCTCTTAATCCTGACAGCATCTTCATGGCTGAGGAGGTGGGAAGAAGCTCGTTTCTTCTGATAAAAGAACAATAAATTCTTTTTCTCTGAAAGATTTAGGTGTCCTGTGGCTGCTACCTCGGTGCGAGTCCTTTCTTTAAAAAAAAGTATCTTACATAGCATAGTTTCTCTTTTAACATTATCTTATAACCCAAAACTATATTTAACACACTACTTAAGAAAATTAATACAGCACAACTTGCTAACATAACACATACAATATTCATTTTCATAATTGCGAAAAGCCAATGATAAAATACACATTTTTCACACAGCTGAAAGGGGAACACTTTGTGGCTGCCAGTGATGCCGCCAAGGCAGGAGCCCCAGCACCGCTGCCGCCTGCCGCGAGTCACCTTTCCCGGCGCGGGCGCTGCTGAGTCAGCTCAGGCCGGGGCTCTTTGCTGAGTCACGGTCCGCGCCCGGCCGCTCCCGGCGGGCGGTGCCTCCGCCGCGCTCGGATTGCAGCTGCTCTCCCGACCCCGGGCTCCGGACAGCCGGAGAAATCTCCAGAAACAGCCCCTCCCGCGGCCCAACCTTTCTCCTGGAGCCTGAACCAGGGAACCACGCAGAGGGGATCTGGAAACCTTGTGCGGAGGCGGGACTTGGGCCTCACTTTCTGTGCAAAACTTAGCTTCCCGTTCCTCCTTCTCCTGAGAAAAGGCTGCGAGCAGTGCGGAACAAAGTCCTCTTTGTTGCGTACGTGTGATTTTTCAAATCCAAAGTTTCACGGTTTGTTCTGTATCGCAGTCAGGGCA